AAATCTCAGAATGAGGTATCCATTACTTGTAGATAATAGTCTTGTGAAACTTTTTTATATTAATGTAAAATAAACATTAATATTAAAATGCAATTTCCCTCGTGCTCCTGCCTCCTGATTGGCTTCTGTCAGATTGATTGAAAGTATCTCTGTTGTCAGGAAAATAACAAGATTGATTACCTGCAGACTTTGTTCCATATTATCTTTAATCTTTGTGTTTGGGGAAGACACCCGGAAACCTTTCATAATGTTGTTGATTAACATGAATTGATAATAGTTTACGGGTAAAACAACTGAAGTTTATTTTTATCCGAGCACACGTGACCCCTGAATTAGGACATTTAAAAGCTCAGTTTAAGCTTTAAAGTAAGAGATGACATTACGTCTCTTCTCTAAAATGTTGTTTTGTTCGTTCTCTAAAGTCTAAATGTGACAGCAGCTCTGCTCTGTCAGTCCTGAAGAAGCAGAAATGAAACTCAGCAGCTACAAAGAACCTCTGAACAGTTTTAAACATTCACTTCTCATCAGCTTTGTTTGTGCTGATTTTAGTAAAGTGACTCAGTCTGACATTTAAAGGTGCAAAACCGGAGATACTCTGTACGTCCACTTTACCGTTTCTGTCCATGGCAACAAGCTCCACCTTCTTTGCAGCCATTTGTATTATTTAATTATCTTAACTTTCATCATTGTTTCTATTGTTTTAATTGACTACTTTAGTTTTGCTCCGTGAAATTGTAGTTTTCTTTCCTTTTGGCTGAATCTGTCCTGATGTTGTCTCCTTTGCTGCAGGATTGTTGTAATTGTTAGCCATCATCTGTCACACTATACCACACTCTTTGTCTTTATTATATTTATATCATATGAGGTTATTTGAACCACCTATTGATAAACAAAACACCCCCCCTCACCCCCCAAAAAAGGAATAAAATAAAGATTAGCGGATTTGTGCTTTCCATTTTAATTCATTTCTTTTGGACCTTACTTTAATGATTGTATTAATGTTTTTATATTGAAATTTTCTTATGTGTGGACCCCGGAAAGAGGTGGATTTCTCTAATGATTCACAGGGTTCAGATTTCTGTGTGCAGCACCTCAATGTGTGAAACAAGGCAGCGCCACTGAGAGGGTTTGTGGTTTGAATCCCAGTGACGACGCATAGTCCTGAAACAACTAAGCCATTACAACTGATTAATTAACCCGCCAACAGTTTTGATAATTGTTTCATAAATTAAGCAAAAATAACAAACTGTTGTTGGTCCCAGCTTCTCAAATGTGAGGATTCGCTGCTTTTCTCAGTTTTGTTAATCACTGTAAACTGATTATATTTGGGTTTAAGACACAACGAGACATTTGTAGAGGTCGACTCGGGCTCTAGGGCATTTTGATTGAATTTTTAGGCATTTTAAACACTAATTGATGGATCAATTGATCGAAAAAGGAAAACAATTGTTACTTGCAGCCCTAGAGCCGCCTCGGTTTTACTGGGAATCAACCAACTCTCTCCCACATTGACACATTGACACAACCACAGACATACAGTGAACGTGGTTATTCAACTGTGAGTGCAATTCAATTTCTGAATCTGTGACTGATCAAAGAAATGAGGTACTTCAGACTTTATAAATCAATCTTCAGACAATAAAACAGGATTGTCTCTGAGCAGCGTGGCTTCTATCTGTGAGAGTATATTTGCATGAGCTGAACCTCAGCATGCCTCACACGTGCTTGAGTTTCACTAACTTTATTCACAACATCAAAGTATAAAAGACTAAAGAAACACAGTCCTGAGCAGATGGCGGAGTCTCTGGAAGGATTTCGTAGCAGTTGAAGTGAGGCTAACCGCAAACTTCCCTTTCAGCTCGCTGCAGTGGTTTTAACTTCTTCTTCCTCTCCCCTGAAGGCCTCACTCTGCCTCCAACTGCTCTTCTCTTTTCAGTTGTACAAGTTTTGTATGATTTTTTTGTCGTGACGGGCACAAAGTTGTAAAACGTAAGATATCCAGGTTTTATGTTTTTAGTTGTTGCTTCGTGTTCGTTTAAAGAAGTGGGACAATTTGTTTGCGTAAACCTGGACTGCAGTGAAGAACAGTCAGGCGTTTGGATTGTGAAAATGTAGATATAATACAACAAAATAAGATTACAAACACACTCTATCTTCCCCTCTTGTTCTTTTCTGCCATCCCTCTTTCAAAAAGAACATACAGAATAGTAAAAAATAACCTCTCAGGGGTCTTTCATCTCACAGTGATGCCTTCAGGAAACACCAGTGTGGACCAGAGGGCCCCTGATCTCACGCTTAGTTACCTGAGAGGTGAGGCGAGGAGGCTGGTGATCTCTGGGCGTGGAGGACTATTAGTCTCTCTCTTCCTCGGTTGGTTCGTCTGGCTGCTGTGCGACTCACTGCTTGACAGGCAGCGCACTGAGTCGCCACCAAAAGCAGTGCGACGACGCCTCTATTCAAATCTACATGGAAGGAAGTGACACGCAAGCCTTCAGAAACGGGAATGAAAGAGGTTTTGTCTTTATATGGCAATGCACGCTGGCTGCTAGCGAAGGTGACCACCTTTAGATGTGACAGGACTGAGGGCTTCATTTAAAATGCTGTCATGATCAGAATAAGGTGGCGATAGAGACCACATTCACAATTCTGATCAACTGGATGTGTCAATTATTTTAATGGACACAGTTTTTTATTTTATATCTGAATACAATACAGTTGGTCCTTCCTGTGACATTTAAATCAAGCAGCCTGATAGACAGGTGTTTAGAGAGACAGACAGTTAGATGAAGAGGATACAGATACAGTTGAGTAGCCAGAACGGCAGACGGGCAGTTTTAAATGTCAATGTAGAGACGGACTGGTAGAGTGAGGTGGACAGAAAGACAGAAAAGACAGGTGGATACCGCCAGGCAAAGACACACACACACGTAGTTTAAAATACCAATCAAAGGTATAGCAGATAATTAGAGACAAGGAGGTAAATAAGAGAGTCAGACAGGTAGTAATGAGGAAATACTGGTAAAAAAACAACTGAAGACCGATAAGATAAAGACATGTAGAGAGGCAGGAGGGTGAAGATAGACAGATAAGACCGGTGGAGACAACCAGGTGATGTCTACATACGTTTGGCAATATATCTGTCAGTTCCCTCTGGGGATGTTACATTCAATGTTACATAAAATTTCTCGATACTTTCTCGTCCAACAAGCTACCAAGTAAATGCATTCAAACTACAACTATTGAACTACACCAGACCTCGTTAAACTCCTGGTCTTAATGTTGTGTGCCGATAAAATCTGCGACAGGTTGTGCTCTCGTGTTGATCGGCTTCGTTTTTGTTTGTTTGTTTCTGGGCTTCTGGCGTCTGCTGCTCGGAAACACAAAATGACCTGAATGTTGTTGACATTCAGCAGAGCCAGACATCATCTTCACATCATGATTTCCCACAAATATATGTAAAATATGCAGAACCGAGTATGTGGGGATGTTTTCATTTGTTCAAACAAGGAACAAAGAAGTCAGAAGTGTAATACCGACAAAGAGAAGTTACAGTCAGTGTTCCAACTCAGCAGGACTGGTTTCGTGGAATGAACCTGTTCCTCTTCTATCACTGTCTGTATTTTCAGATTCAGGTGATAGTTTATCAATGCAGGTATCATGAAAGTCGTCTCTACTCTTTACCTCAGCAGGTATCAGGGTGAGGTAAAGACACCTCCACCCATCTGACAGACACAATCACTGAGGGGTTCCCCTGTAAACCACCACGCCTCCGCCCCAAGAACCTCCTACTGACACTCCTTAAGTCAGGTAAAACTGAATGTAGTACGTCTAAAACTGGAGAATATCAAAATGTCACTTCAATAATAACTCTAACTTGTGTTTTGGCAGATACGAGGTTCGTAGAGGTGGACATTGTGAGTATCTTGTGTTGTAATATTAACTTTATTCAAAATAAGCTTTTGCAGAAGTTTTAAGAAAAAGGGGTTTGAAATGTCTTGACGAAGCCAAAATGAAAGACATTTGTCCAAATCAAACAAAGGTTTGGTCTTGAATCATATGTTAGCGTACATCTCGCTTCCCACACCGCTGAGAGCTGCTGTTCTTCCTCTGGTCATTGAGGTTGGCATATTTAAACTATTTCAGGAAGAGGACAGAGATTTTGTGGCCTGAGATCTGTTTTTTTTACTGTACAAATTCAGATGATTTAAGAGAGTTGACTGAAGATTTCTGAAAATTTTGGTTTTCAGATGTTTATGTTTGCTAAATTTGTCTCAAATTCCTAAAACTAAATCCAGCACATATCTACAGTGCAGAAGTGGAGTAACTGTGTTTTGAGATACTTGTCGCTGCACTGAAAACTACACTGAGCAGCATTGAACATTGCACCTCCAAACAGAGGGAACTGTTTTAAAACATCTACACCCGTAAATCCTACTGTAGGTGACAAGGGATGGAACTGAAAGTGACCAACTCATATTTACCCGCCCTGCTTTCTGTGTGTGTGTGTGTGTGTGTGTGAGGAGTTTATTTGGGATATTGACTATCATTGTGCCTAGTATGAATTATTATATATTCATTTTTATTTTGTCTAATTACATATACACCAACATATTGAGGTCAATCAGAAGTAGGAAGATTGGATAAATCAGGTGGAAAGATGGATTTTGAAGTATTCGTGTTTGTATTTATTTACAATTATTATTTTTGTACAGCTGTAAATAACACTGTTAACTTATCACATACATACAAGGGAATAAACTACTTCAGAGACTATTTATGTTATCAATTGTAAAAACATATAGTATGTTAATTACATTTTGTAAATATTTTTTTATTTTAACATGTATTGCAGTTAATAAATATCTTTTAAAAACTTGTTTATGTTGAATATTGTATATAATTGTGCCCATTATGGATGAAACAATCTATTATATTAGACCCATGACCAATGTTTTTATTTGATGTATGGTATTTTCTTATTTTCTGTGTGTATGTATTTGTTTGGCATTACTTTTATTTTAAAACGTGTTCGAAATGAATAAATAAATAAATAGATACATGTCACGTGTCGATGACGTGGCGGTAAACAAAGCGCGGAGCCAATCGCAGAGAGGCAGCTCGGTCAGCCGACAGAAGCTTCCGGGATTGTGTTGTGTTGTCAAAATGGCAGAACACCATCATCATCATCACTTCTCTCTGTGCTTCTGCGATTTAATGAGGTAAGCTTCTTCTCACACAATCCATCTCTTCATTCACTTGATGACATTTTATTTAAAAAAAGATAGAATCCCACTGAGACGGACTCGAGTCACGAGTGGAAAGTAACACGTCTTTCGGTGGTGTTCCCGTCTACTCACGGTCCTGTGTTGTGTGTCCTAGGTTGTTGTGGTCCCTGGTCGTGCCCTGCGTCTACCTCAGCGTGGTCCTGACCCTCGTGCTGTTGCTGCTCCTGCTGGGGGTCCGACTGTGGCTGAATGGCCGCCGCAAGGCCCGCGGGGCTCCGGACGGAGGCCCCGCGGTGGCTTTCTTCCACCCGTACTGCAACGCCGGAGGAGGCGGGGAGCGGGTCCTCTGGTGCTCCCTGAGGGCCCTCATGAACCGGTACAGTCTAACTGCACCACCTGTTGACACTGTATGGCCAACAGCACGTGGACACACTTGTTCTAATAGCGGAAGTTCATTACTTCAGTACAATTGTTGAGATTTCACTGAAGTATTTACATTTCCTGCTACTTTAATAATGTAGAATATAGTCCACATATAAATAATGTTATATTATAGATTAATGCTAATGCCTGTGTGTTATTTATACTTGAGTACAAGATCTGTCAAGTACTTCACATACTTTAACTGATTTGATGTTTTCCCTCATCTCCTCAGATACCCGAGCGTCTCCTTCGTGGTCTACACTGGAGACCAGGGAGTGACGGGCGAGCAGATTCTGGAGGGAGCCCGACAGCGTTTCAACATCACGCTGCCCCGACCGATCACCTTCGTCTTCCTGCGACACCGCTCGCTGGTGGAGGCCAGTTCTTACCCGCACTTCACCCTGCTGGGTCAGAGCGGCGGCTCCATGTTCCTCGGTAAGGCCGTGCCAGAACTTATGCTGAATTAGTTTTGATGGACATAGACGGGGATTGTGAGTTCAAGTACATTAACACTGTGTGAGTGTTGCAGGCTGGGAGGCGCTGACGGCCTTCGTCCCCGACCTGTACGTGGACTCGATGGGCTACGCCTTCACCCTGCCCATCTTCCGCTACCTGGGAGGCTGCAAGGTGGCAAGCTACGTCCACTATCCCACCGTCAGCACCGACATGCTGTCTGTGATCAGAGAGAGGAACCCCAGGTTCAACAATGCTGACTTCATCTCCAGAAACCCCGTGCTGAGCGCAGTCAAGGTGGTGTACTATTTCTGCTTCGCCCTGCTGTACGGCCTGGCCGGCTCCTGCAGCGACGTCATCATGGTGAACTCCACCTGGACGCTGGGACACATACTGTCTCTGTGGCGCGCCCCGAGCCGCACCAGCATCGTCTACCCTCCCTGCGACGTCAGGGCCTTCCTGGGCGTCCCGCTGGAGGAGGATGAGGAGGAGGATAAAGAGGAAGTGGAGGAGGGCTGGGAGGAGCTCGGACGGGAGCTGAGTAGTGAAGAGGAAGGAGTCGGGGACAGGAAGTGCCACTCCATCGTGTCGGTGGGTCAGTTCCGACCAGAGAAGGACCACCGGCTGCAGATTCGGGCGTTTCACAAACTGCTGGACAGGAAGAAGGAGGGGCCCGGGGGACGGGAGTCTCTGCGGCTGGTGCTGATTGGTGGATGCAGGAACCAGGAGGATGAGGAGCGGGTGCTGATGCTGCGGGGGCTCTGCCAGGAGCTGGACGTGGCCGACCGCGTCGACTTCAAACTCAATGTGTCCTTCGAGGAGCTGAAGAGAGAGCTGGTGGACGCCACCATCGGTCTGCACACCATGTGGAACGAACACTTTGGTATAGGTGAGGACAACACGCCCCACACACACTTCACCTACATAGTATTTACAAAAACTACACAGGTACTTTATTACTTTGAAGGTCTCCCCAGACATGTTTTTAAGAAATACAAAAGAAGTTTGATTACTTTAAAAATTATTAAAATGAATGACATCTCCCTCATTGAAAAATCAAGAATGTATGACGATGCAAATATTGTTAATTTCAAGTTTAACAGGTTTGACGGCAGAGGATTTCTGACGGTGAATGTTTGTTTGTATTAGATCAGCAGCTCTCACTCTCTCTCTGTCTCTCTCTCTCTCCAGGTGTGGTGGAGTGTATGGCTGCAGGCACCATCGTCCTCGCTCATAAGTCTGGAGGTCCAAAACTGGACATCGTGGTGGCGTACGAAGGCGGACAGACGGGCTTCCTGGCCGACAGCGAGGACGGCTACGCCGCTGCCATGGAAGCCATCTTGGCGCTGTCTCCATCGGCCAGACTGGAGATCCGACACAATGCCCGGCGCTCTGTGGAGCGATTCTCCGACCAAGAATTTGAGGCTTGTTTCATCGCTGCCATGGAGTCTCTGATGTGTCAACTGGAGCGATGAGGAGGACCAGACGAGGCCCGGTGTCCACCAGGGACCAGGACTTCATATTAAGTTAATTCTGCTACCCAGATATATGAGGGGGGAAACAGTGAGTCATATCTAAGTTTAAAACAAGCTAAGCTTCCGACGCTGTTACTAAAGTGTGACATAGTGTCTCGTTCCTCATTTAAAATAATAGTCGACATTGTCAAGTTCCTGGTAGACACCCAGAGATAAACTTGTCTGTCTTATACGCTGCGATGAAGCAAAAACAACAAAAAAAAACATTTCCAGTGACTTTGCATGTGTCAAACTCTCGACGACTGTTCACCAAACGGACAGAAACATGGAGAAGAGATGAAGCGTCTGTAATGTTCGTAGTAACAAACGTCACTGTTGAAATCCTCCCCGAACAGAAAACCGTAGCAGGGCTGATCGCCGTAATGTTCATTTATCAAAGTGACCCAGCCTGGAGAAGCGGATGACAGATGAAACATAAAAGTCTCATCGTATTCACTATTAAACCATCAACGTCGATGGGACGCTGGCTAACAGCTCAGAAAAAACTTTAAACCACATTATTCCAAGTGGGAAGTTACATTTACAAGAGGAAATGGATTTTGGGAGTTTTTATTATCATTAACGTCATATCGTTGTGATATTTGGTCCAGGACCTGTTGAGCCTAGTTTACCAGGCTGACAGCAGAGGGACACTGCTAGCATGCGTAAAGTAAGAAAATGTTTCTCTTCCATCTGTTTCCTTACCAACACATTTGATCTTGTTCGCTAGCCAGCTTGTGTTTCTTCTCTTATGAGTATGCTACGCCTGCAGTTTGCCCCTTCTTCCCGTCTTTGTGCAAAGCCAAACACATGCTGGACTTATCTCAGTACTGGACGCACAGATATTCAACTTGTATGAATCTTCTCACCTGACTATGAAGCATATTTCCCAAAAATGTTCCTTTGAGGCGTTTGATTAAAATTGAGAGTAGTTACATTCCAACCAGCTTTTTGTGCGACACCACTGAAGGCCGTATGTGTTTGCTGGTGTGGAAGTGAGTTATATCGAGTTATACTGGTGTGACTTTGAGTATAGTTTATTTATGATGATGTTTTCCAATTACTGACTGATTCTTAAATAGATGTAAAGGGGTTTGCAATGTTGTTTTTCCTCAAGAAGTTACCGAAATGAAGACTTTTCTGTTTCTGAGCACATCGAGGGAGCACTTCAAAAGTAATGATGGCCAAATATCTCTCGTTTAAATATTGTTTCACTTCCTGCATTCCTGTTTGTAATGAGTTCACGAAAATATTACACGTGTTGAATATTAAAAATCTTTATTTCAAAAAAGAATTATTACTATTTAAGTATGTCCATGTTGAGAGGATGAGAAAACTGAAACAATACTGCAATAAACGCAATCGTCAAAACACTTCATAGAAACTGTTTGTTTGTGCTGCCAGCCTGTGGCAAGAAACAGTAACGGCACAGCAAAGGTAAAACACTACTGCTGCTTATTAGAGAAGAACATCCATTTAATAACAGTGGCCAACTGTTGTGAAAATTACTGAGCCTTTCCCTTGTTTTGTTAAAAAACATTTGTGTTTTTAAAGATTCATGTCTTCAGTAGGAACCTATTGGCACGGAGCTGAGAGCCGGGGCAGACAAGTATTGAGAGACGGACGAACACATTGTTACTTTTGGTCTTTTTTCGTGGGATTTGTTGAAAGTAAGAACGATATAGAACGCCACCAGACTCACCCGATATAAAGTACAAAACAACGCATGAAGAACCCTAACAACTGGGCGTTCAGACATGCTGGACCTCAATCTCTCTCTTTGTATTCTGCACAAAACTAGTTCTTTCTGACTAAACGGTGGCAGGTGAAAACATCAGATCTGTGTGGAGCGATGAGGCGACTTCCTCACATTAATACATGACAATAAATGTCAAATCTCCATCATGTTTTCCACCATTTGATCTTTGAGTAGAGCTCTTTTAATTAATGACCTCATCTCATTGTGTCCTCTTAATTTTAATGGCGCTGAACAGATAATTAGCTCCACAAGCTGCTTATCTCCATCAACCAATGAACTCATATTCACACAGCAGTAGCGGATGGAAATGCAAATTAATTTGCCTTTACTTTTGCCAATTCCCTGGAAATTTTGTTATAATTTGCACTAAATTTGGATGCCTTGATTTATGTTCAGAGCCGCTATAAACACTTTGAGACCTGGTTGGATAATTCAACGTTCAAACTAATCTGTTTCAAGCTAACTGGGACCTTAAAAACTGAATTAATAGGACAATGAAGGTGGATGGTTATAGGAGCCCTCAGAGAAAATCTTACCAAAGCTTATTATTTGTCGAACAAACAAATGCATCTCCCCCATAAAACATATGCAAAGCTGAATTTGACATGTTTTAGTTGCTGCTGTCTTGTTTTGACGTGCGATCGTCTGAATGCTCGGACTGACCGTCACATTCTTCGGTCTCAGGCGAGACAATGTCTGCACTGGAGTCTTCAACTTCCTGCTCGTTTTGTTGCGAGTGTGCAGCGCTCACTTCTCGTCCGACCTCATTCTCGTTCATCCCTTCCTCCACCGCTGCCCTCTCCTCTGTGAGCTCCGCCTCGTCCGAGCTCCCGTCCTCCATCACAAACAGGTTCTTCATGGAGTCGGCCACCGCCTCTCTCAGCTCGTCCTCCGACTCCTCAAAGTTGCTGATGAGCAAAAAGGAAATTAAAATGATCTCATGCAGAGCAAAAAACAGTATGTTGTTTGCTAACTCACACTTATTATACTATAATTATATTCATAAAAAATTAAGAGGTAAAGAGCAGCGAACAGAAAGCAGTGTTACTCACGTGTCGTCATCGTCTGACCTCGGCTCCAGATGATCTTCATCCATCTCCACATCAGAGTACTCCTCGTCCTCCTTCCTCTCCTCATCTTCTCTGTCCTTCTCTGGCTCTAAATCTGAGAGTAAACGCAGTTCAGTGAGTCAGACTTTTTTTAAGTAATTGTAATAAAACCTCCGGTTTTCTGTCCATGTTGTTAAGATAAATCCTTTAACTGGACACCTCATCATTCTAATAATTATTCAGATGTCAGTGTGAGAGAGTAAAGTCTGACCTGCATCCACTGAGTCCAGAGTTGATGATGCGAGTTCAGCCTGAGCGAGAGCGTTCAGCAGGGTGTTGGGGGGGTCATCGACCCACCGTCTGCGACCGGCCGCATCCTCACCTGAGGGGGGGGCGGGGTCAGGTGACATACTTGGTCATACATCCCGCATTGTCATGGTCAAGATTCTCTACAGGTTTTCTGGAATAGCTGTAGAATTTCTCCACGGGGATTTTAAAGCTTTGTTGCACTTCCGCTAAGCCGAATTTTGTTTTCCAGTCTTTATGCTAAGCTAAGCTAACCATACACTGGCTGTGAATTCATATTTAAGGTACAGACATGAGAGTGCTATTAAGCTGAACATCTAACTCTCAGAAAGACAGCGAATAAACGTATTTATGAAAATGTCAAACTATTACAACTACCTTAAAACTAAGAGAAGAAGACAAGAAAAGCGCAGAAAATGAAAATAAAGTAACTTAAGAAAACAAACTTTAACTTTGTTTTTTGTAAAAAATGAAATATAGAGAGAAAAGATGAGAAGATGACGTGCTTTTATCACTCACTAATAATGGATAACTAAAAGTTACCATACATGACTTGAACACATTTCTGGGCCTCTTCACTCAGATGTTTAACAGGTGTACTGCACCTTGTTCCTCGGCCGCGGTGCTGTAGGCAGAGTTGATGTCCATGTTTGCGAGAGCGTCCAGCAAAGTCTGTGGAGTCCTCTGGCTCCACCCCCTCCTCCCCTCCGACCAATCTCTGAGCTTCAACTCCTCCCCCTCCTGGAAGCTCAGAGTCTGGTTCAGAGGGTCCACTTCCTGATCGGAGAATCAGGGACAGAATGAGAAAGAGACAAAGTGAAGAAGAGGAGCAGTGAAAGAGAGACAGAGAGAGTTGTCACTTACCTCCTCCTCCATTTGTCTTCCATCACCCACTTTCTCCTCTTCTTCCTCGCTTCCCTCCTGTTTCTCCTTCTCTGCGTCCTCTTTCATGCCTTCCTCGTCTAACCGGATCTCAAACATGATTCCTTTCTGCAGGAATAAAAGTTATAGCGCGGATTTACACTTTACAGCTGTTGTTCGAGGAGGTTCATGGTCTTTTTGGCCGTTTGTGCGTTTCAATTACCAAAAATGCACACATCACATGAAGGCTATTGGTAAAATTGCACGAATGAAAAAGATAACATCTTCATCATCATGGTGCTGATAAATCCAGAGGGGTCATCCTCTGAGAGCAGGAATATCCTCAGCAGCACGTCGTGTAAATCTGGCAGGGAGCTATCGAGTCACGTGTGCTGCTCAACAAAGTGTTTGACAAACCAACTTCTATGATTTTAGGAGGATAGCGGGCTGAAAACTGAGCTGCTTATTTGGGGTACCACACGCTATTCTACGTAAAATATCAATCTGACACAACTGTTCACTAAACGGACAGAAATCGTGATTAGAAGCTGTAATACCAATCTCAAAGACAGGTCTGACTCTCGCGTTAAGACTTCAGCTCTGACTGTCTGAGCTGAATATTTAGTGTAGTCACCTTGTCTTTGTGTTTTCTCTCCAGCGCTCTCTTCTGGTCTCCGTTCTCCTCTCTGATCTGCCTCAGAGCTGCATCCACATCCTGCAGACACAGGAAGGGCGAACTATTAGAGACTCATACATGTGTGTTTTGTTGAGAGCTTATGGGATGAACACGACTTGTGTAGTTGATTCTGAAACAACTCTGTGTCTGCATGTTTTATCTCTGAAGAGTAGCTGGATGACGGGAGGATGTCACAGAAAAACAAAACATACGGCGTTCAAAGTAATGAAGGAAAACGTCAACAAAGGCAACAATCCTTTCAGAGTATTATTGTTATTTATGGAGTACTGACTGGAGTATGAAAACCATTATGGCCAGAATGAGAGTGACACAACTGATTTCTTGTGAGTATTTACCTGTGCAGGTGGACGTCTCTGCTGCTCAGGTTCTGGGTCTCTGGGTTTCTCCACCACAAAGGTTTCATGTTTGTGCTGTGGCTGAGGCTGACACATGATCAAATGAAAATATGTTAATGTTTAACTCGGTCTCATTCATCACGCTGAAGCAAGTATACATTCACAATGACAGAGTTACTGTCAGGAGGAGCTGATGTCTCATTCAGACTAGATGGGGAGGCAAAGATACTGCAGGAGGTGAATTTGAGTCAGAAATCATAACTCTCTCCGCCGGTGTGTAGGATTTAGCGGGATCTATACATACAAATGGAATATAATATTCATAGCTATGCTCTCCTTAGTGTGTAATAGGGCTGTCAACAAATATACTACACAGCTAATGGTAAACAAACCATGTACCTACAGTATCAGTATCGGTTGGTTGTAATCTGCAACCTTTAGTTCACACTAAATCCTACACACTGGTCCTGTAAGAATCACCCAGACAAATCATTGCACAGGTCACGTGCCATGCAATAAAGGGATAACAGAGATGGAGAAATTGTCCCTTTAAAATCAGACACTTTTCTGACCGCTGTTCTGTAACCTGAAGTGGAAATTAGGTTTTTGTGTACCTCTACGTCAGCTCTCAGCCTCATCTGTCTCATCTCCTGGTGATACTGCTGTCTGATGAGATCCAGCTGACGTAGGTAATCCTGCATGCACACACACACACACGCACACACACACGCACACACAAAGAGACATAAACTAAACATTCAGGTCTGTTCATAGATTTACTTAATACAATACTTGAGTAGTAGCTGCCAACATGTGGTTCAAAACTCTGCAGAAGCAGTGGTATTTTTGTATCATATATTTTTATATTACTTTATCATATAATATTATTTCTTTCCAGGATTTCTGTGGAACACCCATTTATGCCAGCCCATTTTTCTACTATTTTATTTATTTTGGCAAAGCACAACTCCAACACATTTCATTCAGTCTTCACTAAATCATCTAAACTACAAAAAGTCACAACCTTGACTGTAATCACCGACCTGCTGTCCCTCCTGCCTCTTGTCCTGAGGTGCATGTTGTTGTTCAGGTCGCACTTCCTGCTCCTGACCACCGCGCTTCCTGTTGCACTCAGCTGTACACGGACGCAGACCCTGACGCTCAGAAAGTAGAAGTCAGTTAGAGCTGATTTTTGTTTTAAATGTGATTGTTAGTAATTACTGTGTTCCTTCAGTGTGGGATTTTTCTAAACTGGAAGGAACCTGAATGAGTTGACAGCTAAATTAAATAATTTAATAATCCAACAGTCAAGCCAATAATCAGAAATATGTTGTAGAGTCAGTAGAGTCAGCATGTGTGAGTGACAGAACAGACTGTGAAGCATGAGCTTCATCCTACCAGCTGTTTCTCTGCTCTCAGCTTGTACTGGTTGGCCTCGTGTCTCCTCTGCAGGTATTCATTACGAGCTGCAGCCACACTGACAAAACAAGTGAGGGGGTGGAAACAAAGACATGGTTAATATTATTATTAAGACAGTATGTCTGGTTTTGATCAGAATCCATTATGACAACACATCACCAATGAATTATGCTGGAAACACAATATCAGCTCCAAAAAACAAGCCAAAACGAATTGTTGACTTAAAACATTCAACATTTTGGGAATTAATGTACGGTAACATACAAACATTACCTAGTTTGAGCTTCTTAAATGTGAAGATGTCCTGCCTTTTTTCTCTTATGTGATTGTGAATTGAATATATTTGAGTTTTGGACTGTTGATCGGACAAAACAAGCAGTCTGAATACATCTCCTTGAGTTCTGGGACATTGACGGGAGAATAATCCACAGATGAATCGATAATGAATATAATTGTTAGTTGCTGCCCTGGGTGTATGAACACTCACAGCTGGTATGGTTCCACAGTGTGGTCTTCACATCGCTCCTTCTGTCTCTCCTGAGGAGGAGGAGGACGAGGAGGAGGAGGAAGGACGTCTTCCTTGTTCCTCCTCTGAAAGGCGTCCAGCTGGGCGTAGTGGTGCTGGTAATAGCCGACTGGCTGCTGTCCATTGAACCTGCATCAGTCATAGTTTTAGGTCAAAGTGTACCTCTGAAGCTCATTGAGAATATTTCCGTTCATGGAGGAAAGAGGTTAACTGTAAGATACAGTCGATCTAATTCACCTTTGCTTCTGCTGCCCTGCAGCTTCTCTGTCTGCAACTCTTTGATGAAGAGGCTGCAATCAGAATTAAATGAAGTATTATAACAATAGAAAGAAGAAAAACGATATATATATATATAAAATACAGCATTTCCTTCTGTAATGTAGCGGAGTTGAAGTTTAAAGTAGCATCAAATGGAAGTACCTCAAAATTGTATTTAAGTTCAATACTTGAGTTAATGTAGTTTATTCTACCTGCACACTGTCAATTACTTGTACTCATTTTATTATGACATGTTGGTGATCAGATGAATTTCATGAGGGCAAACAGCACCAGCACCATCACATACTTGAACATGGGGATGAAACACTATTCACAGGGTTCCAATACGAGGCTATTTTTATATAAATACCGGGGCTCTTTGCCAGTTATTATTATTATTATTATTATTATTACTTTGTAGTGGGCAGGAGTGTAGACTCTGAGTGGGACTCTCCAGTCTGGTCTCTTCACAGCGACTCCGGGCCTCTCTGCTGCTCTGGACTTCTGCTTATTCTCTGGATAACAGGAAAGTCTTAATTTAGAATAGCAAAGCAGGTAAACAAGCTGTTTATCTAGATAATGGTGTAACTTTGAATGTTGTCAGTGACGTACATTTACTTAAGTACGAATTCAAGTCACTTGTACTTTTTCCATTTAATGTAACTTTATACTTCTACTCCACTAAATCTCAGAGTCAAATATTGTCTCACAGAACAACAACCCTATAAACATATGATGAACTTATAGAATATGATGCTGTAGATTAAACTACCCAACAACACTGGCTGCTGTATACATATTTCACATGTGCACCTATAGGTGGCATGAGTTGCCGGTTTAGTACTGCTCTTCCTGCCCTTGTTCCTTTGTCTGAAAGTGTTTAAAAATGCTAAAAGAAACTGCTTTTAAGTTTACAAAAAACATGTAATAAGACATTATGAGCTGCCAGTGCAGGGATGAAAGATGAAATTAGGTAACCATTGTGAAGCAGACTAGCAAGTAAAAACAGGCACTTCCTCATTGATTTAAGACTTTAATATCTGATGTTACCAAAACACAAAGTGGGCCAAGATGTGACACAATCAGTCCAATCAGGATCCTGCCCAGCTGTGATACAACTGAGGAGAGAATCGTGTTTCCCTCGGCAGCTGTAGCCGAGCCTGCAGCAACAAAGCCTGATCAGACTGAACTGGTGTCGGCGAACGACCACTGGGTGGCGCCAGAATCCAGATTCTTATGAGAACTGAAACTACTTTACCTTGTGGGAGGCAGTGTATTTTTTTTCAGCATTATTGTGCAGACATTCCATGATAACCTTTCAGCATATTATAATTGAAGTGTTCTGAGATAGAACTATACTTCTGAACCTCCTCTTGACTCTGTTTTCAGGATTTACTAAATCTGGCCTGTGATGGGAGACTTTACGAGACAATCACAGGTCATATAAAAGAGAGGGCGTTTCTATTGGTTTGTTCTCCAAACACAGATGTGCGTGCAGGACTCTTCGGTGAAAGACTTTTTTTTAAAGGCGGAATATGCTGAAAGAAAAGTTGCTGTTCCAAAAGGATACCAAATATATACTGCTTACCCCGATCTAAAGATTCAGTTTCTGTGGCTGCTGTTATGCTGGTTGTTATCTGTGTTACACGTGTGTTGTGTACATGTTATTTTCATGTTTATGTGTGTGCGGCCTTACCTGCTGCTCCTGCTCTTGTTTTAACAGCCTGGGATGCTGCTGCTCTGTTTCGATGCAGCACCGTGTGGCTGAACTCCTCCTGCATCACCTGCACGCACGCACACACACACACACACACACACACACACACACACACACACACACAC